CTGGCTTCTCTTTATATAAACACTCATCATAGGAATTCCATTTAGTCACTTTTTGCACTTTCCCTTCTTTTATTCTCACTTGAACTCTCTCAGTTCAAGAACGCCAATGACTCTCATATTACTGAATTCAATGATATATTCTCAATTAAAATGGGTTTTTGCTCTGCTTAAGGATATTAAATTCTACTACGGAGAAACAAAATGAGATAAAGCTTGTATGTGTTATGTATAGATAAAAAGTAAGCAAAGCATGTATGCATTAAATACAGACAAAAAAGGACCAAGAGTTACCTAACATTCTTGAGGCAAATATGCAAAAGGCACCAAAGAGTCAGAATACATTAAATATACATGAGACACTTAGAACTCAGTATTTGTGAGAACTTAATGTGGCTACACATTAGTGATACCTAGTCTGTGCACTGACTAATAAATACAAATAACACCTATGACTGTTCAGCAGATGGAAAGCTAACGCCATGACCAGGCATACTTGTTCCTGTATCGTCTTGAAAGTGTGTGTATCTTTGGCCCATGGCACCTACCATGTGGGCTCTGGTTCTCACAACCGCAGCACTGGTAAAGAATGTTGATAAGGCAAAACATGTAAACACTATGTACTCCAGAGTTTAGGTAGTACGGTCCTTCTATCCTACTTAGATCCCAGCCTAAATGTGTTAACTTATCCTCTATCATTTCCTTTTCTTCTGTTTATATTTATTTAATGAATCATGTGATATAAACATTTTATCAGTTAGCTTTTTTCCCAATAACCTTTGGGATAGCTTGCCTGGTGGTGTTTTTGAAGTCCAGCGTTGAATTAGGGTGATTTCTCACTCTTAAAAACACTATTTGACACATTTACTGACTTTACCTTTTTGAAACATTTTTCTCTGGGTCATCACCCATAGTTCTCATATCTCACTGGCTATGTGTTCTCCATGTCCTCTATAGCCCTAGGATGACTTTGTTACAAACATTTAGTCTTACATCTTTTCATAACATCTTCAGGCTGGTAAGTCCCAAATTTATATTTCTAGTCCTAACATCTTATATAAACACAGTTTAAAAACCAAACTTTTACTATCTACCTCAAAACCAACTCCTCTCTTAGATAATTGCAATGGTCTCCTAAAGAGTTTCCTGGTTTCCCACCTTAGAACCACTTCAGTCTACTCCCACCCAGCAGTCGGAGTAATCCTTCCAAAATATGAATCAAACCATATTAATCCTCTGCCCAAAACCCTGTTATGGTTTTCTATATGCATCATAATAAAATCTAAAATCAGTACCAAAATCTGCAAAACCCCAGCTGAATTACTCCCATCTCTACTCCCACCATTAGCCAGCTTTCTCACCCAGTTCTAGCCATACAAACCTCTGTAGCATTATACAAACATTCTAAACACTTTACCACTTCAAGATCCTTTTATTTTTGAAGACAGAGTCTCACTCTGTTGCCTAGACTGGAATGCAGCGGCTCGATCTCAGCTCACTGCAACCTCTACCTCCTGGGTTCAAGCTATTCTGCCTCAGTCTTCTGAGTAACTAGGACTACAGGCACGTGCCACCACGCTCAGATAATTTTTTGTATTTTTAGTAGAGACGGGGTTTCGCCATGTTGGGCAGACTGACTTTGAACTCCTGACCTCAAGTGATCCACCGCCTCAGCCACCCAAAGTGCTAGGATTATAGGCATGGGCCACTGTGCTAGGCCAACATCTTTACATTCACAACTCCCTCTGCTTGCAGTGCTCTTTCCCGATAGATTCATATGACTTAGTCCTTATTTTCAGGTCACTGCTCAAATATCCTCTTATCAGAGTGGGCTGGACTTCTCTTATCAACTTTTTTTTTTTTTTGAGACAGTCTCCCTCTGTCACACAGGCCAAAGTGCACTGGCGCAATCTTGGCTCACTGCAGCCTCCACCTCCTGGGTTCCAGTGAATTTCCTGCCTTAGCCTCCCGAGTAGCTGGGATTACAGGCACGTGCCACCACACCCAGCTAATTTTTATATTTTTAGGACAGATAGGGTTTCATCATGTTGGCCAGGGTGATCTCAAACTCCTGATCTCAGGTGATCTGCTCACCTCGGCCTCCCACAGTGTTTGAATTTACAGGCATAAGCCACCATGCCCAGTTCCTTACTTACTTTTATAAATACAACTTCTGGCAACTCACCCAACCACCCTCAGGCTTAGCATTCCTATACTCCTTGTCCTACTTCATTTTTCTTCAGAATCCGGGCCACCACCTGAGAGACATTAATTGGTTTGTTTACTGCTTGTCTGTCCAGACATTAAGTTCCACCAGGTCAGCAACTCGTACATTCTATTTCATATGCATAAAATTTACAGAATACCAAGCACATAGAAGGTACTCAACAAGCATTACTGAAAAAATAAATAAATGAGTAACAATAACAGGAGATATTCCCACAGCAAGTGTTAGCAGCAAGAAAGGACAGCTCCACATGAAGACAAGAGGATTAGCTAGAGAATCACAGATCCTGCCAAGTCCCACAAGCCCAGCAGACTCCCAGAATTACTTGGGACAAGAGCTATAATACCAGAAAGGCAGGTGAGAGAAAGGCCATACAAATGCTGTTCTTTGGTAGTACAGCCCTGATTTAAAAAAATAATAATAATTAATTGGTAAGAAAAAATAATAACTTTACCACAGACAAAACAGAAAGATACCGTCTCAAACAAGTGATCAAAATAGTATTACCAGTATTCTAAATTGGTAGGCTTATGCAACAAAACTGAGGAAAAAAGTAATAGTAATATCACCAGTAACTGCACAAATAAATATCATATGCTTCCTAATACAATGCACTAAGAATACTACATAACTTCTGTGGTATTCCTGCCAAAAACATATAACCCAAATCTAATCATATTAGGAACATTCTGTAACAACAAAACAAAAAAAAAACTGGTCTATATTTAAAAATGTCTATGACATAAAACACAGACACTCAAAATTGTTCCACATTAAAGGTGACTAAATAGACATGACCATTAAATGCAATACATAATCCTGGATTTTATTTTGCTAGAAATGACATTGTTGGGACAATTGGCAAAATCTGAATACGATCTGTAGATTAGATAACAGTATTTCATCAATGCTAACTTCTTGCCTTTGATAATTTTATGGTTATATAAGAGAATGCCCTTTTTTTGTTTTGTTTGTTTTTGGTTTTTTTTTTTTTTTTTTTTTTTTTTTTTTTTTTTTTTTTTTCTGTGTCTCTCTCTGTCTCCCAGGCTGGAGTTCAGTGGCGAGGTCTCGGCTCACTACATCCTCCACCTTCCT